TAAATAATACTTAAGACGATAATGTTAGAGTACTATTGTCTATTTCTACCTTCGACCAACCTACAACATATAAAAAATGTGCGTTGAGTTGAACCAACCATGTGTTATTTAGGTTTAATATTACAGTGAATATTCTCCTATAATAAAACATTAAGACACTATATAATAATATGTGTTTGTACGATAGCTTTTTATGAAATTGTAATTGTTGTAAAATGTATGATAATTTATAAATTGTAATATTTTACACACCTACAATACTTGCATACACATTGAAAAATCGTTAAAATAAAACCAACACTCAAACACAGATAATGTTATTAAATTGAAGTTGTTTGATTATAGGTCACTTTCTAATAGAGTATTCATCTTATAATAAAGCTATCAACACAAGATTAGAACTCGGACTCAAATTGACTATGTTTCACGAGGATCAAAGAGAGAAAACAAATAGTGCACTACTGCACTGACATCCTTTCAACATAATTTTAATTAAATCGGCTCATTACCTATCCCGACCTTTTGTAAATAGTAAAAAATTAAGAGTCAAAATTAAATCAGCAGAGATTGAGTGGTCTACACAATACTGTCTGGAAGTACTAGCGAATAACTAAATATAGTGAGTAACTGATTGAATACTCTAGTCGACCTATAAATATTGTGTTATTACAATACTTTAAACATTCAAATACCTATTATAGTTTAATAATAATCGTTATTATCGTAATCAATTTTTAGAATCAATATAGATATACATTTTTTTAGATATTATTTACGATTTATATAAGGCTTATATTTTCATAACGATAGGTATACCTATAAGATTGATTTATAAACTATTTCTATGAAATCTGTTACAGCTCACGAACTTTAAACTCGGAATCCTTTCACTGCGTGTGTGTACAGTTAAACTTTAACAGAGCTAACAAACCAGCAAACACGGAGGTGCACGAACGTGAACCATATTATATAGCTTATAAGCTAAGAGCGAATATTTTGTACACATATTATGAGTATATGGCGGACGTTTGCTTATTAAACCATTCGAAGATTATCTAGACTCTAGAGCAAACGAACGACTCAGATTAATAACTTATTCGTTTTATCAAAATTAACATCTAGAAAGCAACTTTGTTAAGTCCTAACCTATGCTCTCAAAGGTATAAAAAGCTTAATTTGTATAATATACACTTCTCGACAGTTATAAAAGCTCGGCAGCTTGAAGTAGATTTAATATTATAGATTTAATTTATAAATTATAATCATAATACAGTTGTGAGTATACACAGTATTAAACATAATTTTAACATAATACATTTCTTAGCATAGTATTATATATTTATATTACATTGTATGATGTATTCATATTTTTATTTCAATTTAAGTAGGTACCTATTGTGGTTCTTATTGCTTTATATATAAATTGGTAATTGTTATGTGGGTTTATTGTATATATAAACAGCATTAATTGGATAATAATTGTTCATAATAGTTATTCATTTATTAGAAGAAAAACACAGTAAGCGTCGTGGCATAATTTTAACGAAAAGCTATTGCATCACTTTGTTGTATTAAAATTGCATATACAACGCGCCGTGTTACAAAAATATATATTATAATATTATTCATTATTATATATTTTTTACACGACCTATCAACCTCTGCAGTCTACTACAGGCTTATCAAATGGATTAAAATTATATTTATGTAAGCTCTCCCTTCGTTCCTAGTTTTTCAGTTTACCTTGAAATATGCCTCTTTTTGCTTTAATATATTTGCAGCAATAGTTTCATAATATTATGGATGCTTAAAAGTTGGCCGTGTTTTGAGTAAACAAACTGCGTCAAGACTTTTAACGATTTAGTGGTTTTGTGTTTTTCCCCCAGCATTAAATACCCGTGTTTTTGTATACTTATTTCATCCACTAAATGTTGTCTCTTGTTTGACTGTAATTACATGAATCATTGCATTCAAAAAACAATTCCAAGTGAATACGGTCTGTCAGTCTATATTACTATAATGTATAATCTAAACTTTTTGAAAATGTCATTGTTTATATAAAACATAATAATATACGTAAAATATGCAAGTTCCAATGAATAATATTTTAGATTTACAACAAAATAACTTAATCTGTTGTTCTTGTAACATTTTTAGCTATACAAATATAGGTAACATTAAATAAATATTTAACTACAAAATATAATTTGCAAATTTTCGTAATTTTTAAGAATTATATCAAAATTTTAACTTCAAATGCGTATAATGAAAAATAGTTTACATGTAATTTTTAATACTTTTAAACGGTTTTATTATCAACTTTTAAGGAACAATGGATTACATTTTTAAGTTTTATCGATATTAATAGAAAAATTTGAAAATGTCAAGGGTCTAAAATAACTCAAAAAGATTAAAAAATATTTTTAATATAATACCATAAATAGAAAATGGTAATCCAAACGATTGGTAAAAATTTCAAGTATCTACATTCTATGGTTATTCTTTTTTGAAAAAAAAAAACAAAGTAAGATACCTATCGATTTTGTCGAAAATTGATTTTGAGCAAAAATGACTGCAAATTTTCCCTATTTTTTTTTATATATACGTCATATAGTGAAGACTTATTTAAAAAATATTCCGTTTTCAATATGTACCGACTTTATTAAATAATCTCAAAGTTATTTATTCAAGAAATGTTATTGGTAGTGAGATCACCGCGAAACCGCTGACGTAGTAGTACTGCTACAGTTACCACACATAATAAAATTAGTCTCCTCGGAGCCCAAAGGCAAAATGCGATAAACGTTCGAGACACCACCGAATAACAATTTATTCTGTGTTAAAGCATAATATATTTATTTATTTATTTAATACAGATTAATGGCGTGAGCCTGAGATACAAATATATACAACAATAACATTAAACCAACTGTATAACAGGGGCTCGTAAAATTATTATACCGTATACCTAAGCCATCCATAAGTTCATATTATATATATCTACATTGGTGGGGGGTTGCGTAGCTGAAGCTCAGCCTATCATGACTACACCTCGCATGAACCTACTTCTAAGATATTTTTTTGTTAATTGCATGTTAATTTTTTATTTAATTTAACAATAGTTTAACAGTTTTATAAATATATTAAACTATAAATACATTTAAAAAAAATCAAGGCCTACTCCCAAAAGGCCATTCCATTACGCCTTAAAATACACCTTTGCATGATATACTATTTACTTCTATTTTGAAACTCACTCGATTTTATTATAACATTATATAGGGTCTCTATAGGCCTATTTAATAGTATGCGCTTTACTACAGGGCTATTATTGCACGAGTATAAAAACATTAGTTCCGATTTGTTCATTTTTCAACTTCGTGATTGTGGTATTAATGGTGTATATAATATAACAGACTCCAGTTTTAGACAAGGTAACGATTCGTTTTATTGGCTCAGAGTTCGACCCGAAAAATATAAGTAGGTACTGCAATTAAATAATTTAATTCAGAGTTTCCAATGAGACGATTTGATTTTAATCGCATATAAATAACTCTTAGCACGCACGTCATACGTGATTTACATGGCTAATTCGATCCTGACGGTACTCAAATATTAAAATTATATTAAAAAAATTGTATTTATAATCCTATACAATCCTCAGATTTGTTAAATAGGAAGAAGAGGTACCCACACGTACGATCGTGCATCGAATAAAAACATAAAATGTCACGAAATCAATTATTTTGTGTTTTAACACAAGTTTTGGATGAATCTTCTTTTAGGAATTAATCTTATGAATAAATAATACCGACAATGCACTTCAAAGAATCTTAGGAAAAATAAATTCAATAAGATACAATTATATACTGCATATCAATGTTCTTTATGTTGTAGCTATCAGAGGTTTTTAAGCACATATTAGTTATTACTAAATTATTACACATCTGTACAGGCGTACAGCTATTATTGAACATCTAATATCATACGTATAATATATTATTATGGCAATATTATAATCAAATTTAAGACACCGATTTTTGGAAGTATAATAATTATTTTTATGATATACAATATACTAATATATAGTTACCTCTTCTTTGATAATATAAAATAAATTGTAAAAGTTCTGGAAATAGCATAATACATATTAAATTCTAAAAAACTGCACATTCACGGGGTGCCAACATTGGTTGACTTCCCCCTTCCTCCTAATCAACCCACATCCTATTTACTCATTGTACTACATGTAATTACAGATTGTAAATAAAATAAAAAAAGACTGCGTGCAACATACTTTACAAAAATCTGGTCATTGAAAAACGTAGTACCTATCTATATTCTATACTCTATATATATTATTATCGTATATAATATCTTCAAACATGTTTCGTATAGTATTATTATACATGTAACTATTTAGTAATTTGAAAATTAGTGTAAAGACACTAGGGATAAAGAGGAGACACGATAATATAGGCTCAAATATCGAAGGAGACTATAGTGTGGAGAATCCCCCCTAACAGTTGTATAGCCTCTCCAAAAAACCTGAAGATTTTACACATTTCCAAATTTTTTTAATGGGTTTTTAATACCATAGAGTAAATAAGAGTCCAGTTGTATGGATCTGAGTCTTCTGAATTTCAGCCTCCCAAACACAAATCTCAAACACTATTTGCACCTATAGCATATAACTTATTGAGACTTCAATTTTTAAGAGCGATATTCAATGACACCTGTAGATGTCCTGCAGATGAGTGATAATCATAAAAAATGTGTTTAACAAAGCATAAAATTGTAAGCTAATAATAATAATTAATAGTAGGAGATGTACCTACTAATAATAATATAAAATATGTTACGGAACAAACACCTACAAAGTAAAGTAATTTCAACAATAACAAAAATTACAAAAATGCCGAGTGAAAATGACATCGATGATACCTAACAGTCCATAAGATCGATGTCACATTCATCCGTCAAACCAAAGACAACCACCAATGAAGATAGCGCTCGGAACGGTCAACGCGTATATATACGGGTACATTTCACCGACCGAGCAACAGTACTCTTTCAACCTTCAAAACATCAAGACTTCAGAAATCAACACACTCTGCCGTCTATTGAAGGATAAGAGGAGAACGACCGACACCGAAGAGGAACGCCGCGACCGCCACAACCGGACACCGCTAGTGAAGACTGCCCCAAGCTCGACCGGTTCAGTCCAGACCATCGGACGACGACATAACCAGCCGCCGACAACGCCGACGGATCAAGACAGTGGAGCGGGGCTGACCCGATACGAAGCAGCGATACGAACTCTTGGCTACCAACCATCGTCCAAGGAGCCGACGACTATCCTCAAGTCCACCAACCAACCCGGAGTGCGTCAAAGAGGAGTCAAAGAACCACGCATCAGCCCGTATACTCGGTGGAAATTTAAACGGTCCTTTTCAGGGCCACCCACGACGCACAGTCAGTCCCCCCAAGCGCGCCTGCCTAGGCCACGCTTTCCGCCCGGGCCTAGTGATCAACGCCACTTTTTCGAGCGGGCTGATCATAGCCACCCGGGCCGTCCCGATAATGTATAATAAAAACATACTATACCCGGTTGTGTAAGACCACCTCGTACCCGTATCAGATAGTCACGGGAACGTGAGTAGTCAAAACCCTCTTATTTGTAACTATATTTTCATGTAAAATAAATTGAGTAATTACACAAGAGCCCACTTGTATAAATTATTAAAGTGACGGAGCATCGGCCTCGGTAGCTCCGTTACAAATAAATTTAAAATTCCTAAATATAATATAATATATAATATAAATATAATAACTTAAATTTCAATTTTGTGAATTCAAAAATTACTATTACTAAACTAAAAGACGAAAAATGCTGAAAAAAATTAAGGCTGCAGGATACTGATTTTTGACTAAATATATTTGACTATTTCGTTGTAATTAAAAATCAAAAAACCATGATTCTATAAATAGATAGGTGACTACTTGGAATTTTCACCAAATATTTATATTGTCATTTACAGATTTTCTATACGAATACTTTAATTTTCAAAGGCTAGGACATAATACAAAGTCTATATTATATAATATATACATTAACAAATTATACTATACTGTTTATACTCAACTTTATAAAATTCTGGTAGCATTTTTTTTTTTAGAATCTGAGCGGAGCAGAATGTACCTTACTGTGTCTATGTATTGATTTTACAATAATGTGTGTGAGTTTTTTTTTGTCTGTCATAAGTCATAACTTTTTGAAGCAGTAAAAATTCTGAGATATTTTCAACTTCAATATCTTTTCTGGCAGGAAAGTAAATCTAGTTGGTACTTTGTGGGTTAAGACTGTTAAGAGTAATAAAATTTCTAGTACTTTTCTTAATAATTGAGAAGAACAAAAACGAAACTGGGTAAAAACTAAAAAAACGGGTACTTATATTTACCTAAAACTAGTTTTTGATGAAATCAATTTTATCATTTTGTTGTAATTTAAAAACAAATTAACCGTAGATACTTAAAATTGTCAACGAATTTTTTCTATCATTTTCTATATGTTGTATAATTTTCAAAAAATATTGATTCTTTTTGAACTATTTATAGACGTATAAAATGTATGATTTTTTTCTTTAAAATAAGTATGTCCATAAAAAAATGTTCACTTGGTCAAAACTTTTAAATATGTAATACAAGGTCCCTCATAAGTTTTTATTAAAAATATTTTTTTCATAGACATTTGAAGTTCAAAGTCCGGACGAAATAAGATATTTAAACACGAAGAATAACAATTTTAATTATTTGTTGTAATTCATAAATAATTATTTATAGGAATTCAAAACTATTCGTATCTTTATATATATAATTCTACTGTACCTACGTGTGTTTGTAAGCGAACTCCTCCTAAACGGCTGGACCGATTTTGATGAAATTTTTTGTGTGTGCTTTAGTGGGCCCTAGAATGTTTTAGATTCACAATCGGACCCGGATCGGTAGGCCCATTCCGTGGAGGTGCTCAAACGGGAATGTTGAGATTTATGGTGGATATTTTTGTTTATAAATGGTTGCCATGGGTTTTAAAGCTATTATAATAATAAATATTGGTTGCCGTGAAATCAGAAATAATTTATAAACAACGTTAATAACATGACAACGTCTGTCGAGTCAGCTAGTATAATTATATTTTTTATATAGAATAATATTTTCAAAACATTAAAACTAATTTTGAAATATCGCTTATTTATAAAACAAACCGTATTCACCCCGTTCGTCGGTAAGGTGGTATTGGCTCAACGGTAACTAAAAATAATAAATATTAAACTATATACATATATATTATTATAATAATTAAATATTAACAATATAGATAATAATAAATTCAATGTTTTTGAGATAAATTGAATCAACCTCCCGTAACACTAATGATTTTTTTTTTATTTATTAAATAAAGTTACAAGTTACACTGACTTATGTCATCTTAACTTATTGTTGATTAAATAAATTTTATTTAACATTTGAAAAATAGATAACAATAAGTAATAAATATTAGAAATAAAAGATACTACCGGCTACGCTTTAAAGTATTTACAAATAAAAAGAAAATTTAAATTGAATAAATAATAATTATAACAACAGGTCGTGAGGGTATACAGAGTCGGCTTACAGAAGGTGGGTCACTTAGTCTATACAATTTCGCACTGTGAGCAGAATTTATGTGGTCGAAGAAGTTGATTGCTATTTTTTTATGTACTCAATTATTATGGGTAGCTGAAAAACGCTAATGGTAAAATAAATACTTTATAGTAACCTATCAAAAATCATGCCTACCTACCTACCTATCTTGAAATATAAACTACTATAGCAATTAATAGTAATATATAAATATACAAGCTTAACTCGTGCACTTCGTTGCCCCTTAAATGTACCAACTATATATGACTCAAACTTTGTTCAATTCGTTATTAATATTCTGTGTATGGTGTTTAAAATTAATCTTAACTTTTCCGTTGCCAGGAATAAAAATTCTGATTCGCAGCAGTATATTATCTGGTAGACAATCTACCTACGGTAGATCGTGGACCCCTAGTTTGTACGTAAGTATATGATTTAACTCTAGAGTACTAAAGTTATATCAAGTTTGTCGTATTCTGCCTATGGTGGATTAATATAATCAATTAATATAAAATCCTAACCTACCTGTTGCATCACTGTTGTATTTTTGACATCCAGATTTCATAATAACCTTATGCGTGATATACTCTTTCGTTTAAAAAAAATCAAGAAGATCTGATAAGTAGTTCCAGAGTTGACCGCGTACAAAGATTTTCATTTCAAATTTATATAGTTGAATATATTATATATAATATATCGACAAAAAATAATAATACAAATCAACAAAGGTGCCGTAACCAATAGCAAGCAATATACAATACACTATTATTATTTTAATCCGCAACTTAATTGTTTATTATTATTATTATTATTATTTATTATTTAGTGTGCACTTAAGAGGCCATAACTCCAGAACCACGTATTGCACAGCGTACAAACTTCACAGAACCATCTACATATCAATCTTAATATTCCCTAAAATTTTTATCAAAATCGGTTAAGTGGATCTTGAGTTATAAAATGTATTCAAAATGTACACTTATTTATATATATATAGATAGTAAATTATAATAATATATACCGGGGTGGGCAAAAGTCACCCAACCGATTTGTAAAAAATGACCCAAAATATAAAAGGTTGTTTAACTTTATTATATAAACAAAAACAAATAATTTATACTATAATTTTAATTTATACATGTTGTATGTTCAATATGACCACCGTCTTCATCAATACACTCTAAACAACGCCTTCGGACCGTTTGGCAGATGCTTTCTAGAAGAGCTTTGTCGTCACTGATCACATCAAGTTCTGAAGCTGATCCAGAATTTTTTCGTACTGTGGTTTGGAGCGACGAAGCTATTTTTAAACTAAACGGGAGTATAAACCGACATAATTGCGTTTACTGGGCGTTTGAGAACCCGAATTTAGTTCTACAACAAGAACTAAATGTCCCTGGAATCATGGTTTTGGCTGGAATTTGCGCCCACACGATCGTTGGGCCGTATTTTTTTGAAAACGAAAAAGTAAATGGTACGACGCACTTAGACATGCTGCAAAATCTTAAAATTTAACTTACAGAAAGTCCAGTGTTTGCCGGTCATCAAATGACATTGCAACAGGATGGCGCACCTGCGCATTTCTCAGTCCAAGCACGAACGTTTCTCAATGAAAACTTTCCGGGATGGATCGGACGCCGCGAAATAGTTGACTGGCCACCACGGTCGCCGGATTTTACACCCTGTGATTTTGCCTTGTGGGGCATACTGAAGGACAGAGTATTCGCCCGTCAGCCACGTTCCATCGAAATTTTGAAAGCAGTCATCACGGAAGAACTTGATGTGATCAGTGACGACAAAGCTCTTCTAGAACGCATCTGCCAAACGGTACGAAAGCGTTGTTTAGAGTGTATTGATGAAGACGATGGTCATATTGAACATACAACATGTATAAATTAAAAATATAGTATAAATTAAGCTCTATATATTTGTTTTTGTTTATATAATACAGTTAAACAACCTTTTATATTTTGCGTCATTTTTTACAAATCGGTTGCGTGACTTTTGCCCACCCCGGTATAATATATTATTTACTAATACGTATTTACTAATATAATATATAGCTAGGCTGACGAAGCGTCTTTGCTCAGAATCATTTTTCGTTTGCTGTGATTTATCATTGAATTCAAATTTAAAATACCCATTACAGTTACTTACTAGTTCAATAACGAGGTAGGTACCTGTACATCACTTGGCACCTATTGTGCAGCAGAGCAGTTATCTAATAACCCTCTTTTATTTTTTTACATTACTTTAATACAGTAATTTATGCATTCATTTATTATGTTTTCTTATTATTAAATGTTGGTATGGTGAGTAAGAAGATTGTTCTGTTCCAAAGAGCTTCTACCATTGTTGAGAGTGTTTTAATATTATGTTTCTTGCAGTGGAAAATTTCGGGAAATGTAGGTCGATATGTATTATTGCGAAGGGATTCGTCACATTGACTGCAGTGGTTGTACATCATTACATAATATTATTATACAACGTAATAATAATATACTGTTACCTCAGATCTTACAATACTGCACGCAGGGTATGTTATCGCCCAGTATCCATAAACCTACCATATGGCCATATCCATATCTACTGTACAAACTTAAATCTCTACGGAACGACTGTCTCATAATTATTTTAACCGTCCGTCAACTGTTTGTGCGCATTTAATGCGCCAACAGACTGTATAAATTATAATTATACTCTCCGGTGGCACGGGAAATCATCGAAATACTAATACAATATTATTATAATAATATATGGGTACCCGATACCTATTATGTGCGTGTGCACTGTTCAAAATTCCAATATGTAAGTAGGGCAAATTCACAGTCAGATTTAATTATAATATATTATAGTTACATTATATACATCATAATAATTGTTGTTATTGAAATATCAAGTCTAGCCC